TTAAAAAGCCCAATTCTGTAGAACTTTAATGATAAAGATGATAAAATACCAAATATTGCTTTCATTTATGACACTTTAATGACAAGGCTTTTTCGATTTTTGTATATATTGTGGAGTATTAGATAATTAAATGTAGTAAAGTGAGGCTATATAGAATCACAGAGTAAGAAAACAACCTCAGATGTCACATATTCCAGGCTTCTCTCTAATGTGTTATGTCAGAGTCTGTGCAGCTTCTTAGACATCTCTAGTAACAAGTAGCTCAGCATTACCAGAGGTTGCTCTGTTTTTATTTCTTTATTTTGCACCAAAATTGGCCTGCTATAGTTTCTGTCCATTAGCATCAGTCTCTAAAGTAATACTTACTGCCTGGCTCGGTGGTTCACCCCTGTAATCCCAGCACTTTGGGAGGCCAGGCTGGAAGATGACTTGAGGCCAAGAGTTCAAAAGTAGCCTGGTCAATACAGCAAGACCCTGTCTCTAAAAGAAAAAAAAAATTAATACTTAGTAGATCTATCTCCTCTCCATAGGGAACCCTTTTAAAAAAACAGACAACTCTCCTGTGCCTGTCCAGATTTATTTCCCTCAGTTCTTCCTTTACGTACTGTGTTCCTGCCACATTGGCTCTAGAAACAACTGTGTCCTCCTCTCTTTCCTTCAGACCTCCACACATAACTGCTTCTCTCTTCAGAACACTTTCACCCCTGCCCCAGATCCCCTGGCTACTTCTGTCTCATCCTTTAGATCTTGTGGAAGTCTCTTTGACATCCCCTGAATTGTGTTAGTTGCTTCTTCTATGTGCTCCCACAGCCCTTATTCTTCCCCTAAAACAATTCGTGCCACATTTTATTGTGATTTTTAAATCCACACTGCTATCCACAAGAAGAGAGGCCACGTCTTAACAGTGCTCCTCATCATATTCTCCACTGTCTGTTTAGCACCAAGCCTGGCGTGTAGTGAGCATTCAGTACACTTTTGACTGAATAAGTTCGAGAACACCAACTTTACCGTGTTCTAAGCTGGCATTCATAGATGTGGTGGCATGTGATTTCACTATTTTCTGGTTATGCTATAGCTTGTCAGGGTCCCTTAAGAGAAGCACTGAGAAAAAATTAGTGTTCCAGATGAAATATGACCTGTGCTACTTTAAACATATTATCTCTGTAAGTTTAGAATTCCATGTTTTTTTGTTTGTTTTTGTTTTTTTGCTCAGAAGCAAGATTTTGTATTCTCTTTTGGTTATGAGCTAAATTTTGAGTGTAGGCATTATCCACTTATTTTAGTACTTTTTTTTAGGAATATTAATGAAGTGAATTTAAAGAAATGGTGTTTTGGAAATAGTTATTTAATTTACTCAAGCTGTTAGTCTGTCCTCCAGATTGTTAAACCACTGACTTATGTGAAAATTAATGGTCAGAAGGTGTGCTTTTCTGAATGTTCTCTTAATTTTTGTCACCCAGTTCATTACAGCTGCTTTTCCTGACCTTTTCAGTAATGCATTCTGAAAGGGGTGTTTCATTATTATCATTGAGATAAGGATAATAATGATTGGGGGGGTGGGAAGAATTCCTTAACTTTTGTTATTTGGGGAGGTAGAAAAGTAAATAACATAGGAGATTATATATGCTAGTAGAGTGGGGAAGACTTTTTGAGAGTTACAAGGAGAAAGAGAGTAGAAGAAAGAAAATGTAAGAGTTGAGAAAAAATAGATCACAAAAAAGTAACAAGGAAAGAGAATGTAATTTACTGATTACTTGATCACCGACCGTGTACTTCCACAGTGTTATGTACTTTGGCCTATGTTATCTCTTCCATACAATGACTATGAAAAGTAGACATCGTTACCTTCATTTTATACAAGAGGTCATAGCCTTAGAGTCACACACACGGCTAGTGAATAACAGAAGACTTTTTCAGACCTAGGCTTGTCAGGTTCTAAAGCCAACTGTTCTAATTTGATGTAGCAAATGGTTTTGTACAAAGGAAGCAGATGGAGCATCACTACATAGCATAATGTTTAAAAGTGTATGTAGACTCTAGAGCCTGTTGGCCTGGGATCAAATCCTGGCTCTCTCATGGTTCTGTCACCTACCAGGTATGGTACCTTAGACAAGTTACTTGATTTCTCTGTGTGCCTCATTCCCCATCTGTAAAATCAGGATAATTGTAGTACCCTCCTCTTAGAGTTGTGAATTAATTTAGTTAATATATAGTAAAACATGTAGAACAGTTCCTGACATATAGAAAGCAATATATAAAGCACAATATACGTGTTTGCTACTGCTATTATTATTATTAGTTTGTGTGTGTGTTGTATGTGAAAGGTCCTGTTTCTAAGAAGTTTGAAGATATTGTTAAAACTGTTGTCAGGGCTGTTAAATCTGTGTAATTTGGTCAGACTTGTCTCAAGGTTTGCCTCTTAGAGTTCTTGCTGTATCATATCCTTAATCCCTGACCAGGCCCAGCCCCGAACACACACACACACACACACACACACACACACACACACACACACACACACCTCTTTCTCTTCCTTTTCTAGAATTGAAAGCCAATTCAGACATTCTCTTTATTATAAAAGAAAGGAAGGATAAAGATTCACTGTAGGTAATACATAAATAAGAATCTAGTGGCCTAAGTTAAAAGTTGTAATTCTAGCAAAAAAAAATTTTAAAAGCTCTTCTTTTACATTTTCGTGTTCCATAATAGGATGCCTCCCAACCTCCCTAAACTTCAGGTTCGTAGGATTTAAGCAAATTGTTACATGACAGTAAAGAGTTTGGGACATTTCTGATGATTATTTGTTTCTGTTGTGATGTAACTGTATTACTTTAACTTCCTTTTCCTAGGAAATTAGAATTTCTTTTAAAAAATCAGTTAAAACTCTTTTAACTTGCTGAAGATTGCCTACTTGGTTAAGGACAAAATATAAGCAGAGAAAGCTATAGCTGTTACTTTGCAGAGAACCTAATGATTTGTCTTATTTTGAAACTAATGAAAGGTAAAAGGGGGCCCTTTTAAAAATTTCTGTTGGGAGGCTGGAGGGGCAAAGATTTTCCTTTTTCTTTTCTTTTCTTTTTTTTTTTTTTGGAGACAGAGTCACCCAAACTGGGAGTGCAGTGGCTCAATCTCAATTTACTGCAACCTCCACCTCCTGGATTCAAATAATTCTCCTGCCTCAGCCCCCTGAGTAGCTGAGATTACAGGTGCCCGCCACCACGCCTGGCTAATTTTTGTATTTTTAGTAGAGATGGGGTTTTGCCATGTTGGCCGGGCTGGTCTTGAACCCCTGACCTCAGATGATCCACCCCCCTCAGCCCCCCAGAGTGTTGGGATTACAAGCATGAGCCACCGTACCCAACCAAGATTTTTCTTAAGTAATGGACTAACTCATTATTTTTGGTTATGTTACCTTAATTAATTTAAATTGATTCTTTGTTCAAAAACTCAACAAGGAAGCCTTGATCATTCAGTCAAATATTATAACACTAATTTTTAATATTTTCTACAACATTCAAGAACTGTACTTGTATATTATTTATGTATGCTGTAATCTATTTGATTAGTGTTCATGAGCATTGTTCTGAATATGACTTTACTGTAATATATTGCCCATAGTTTTCTAATTTTTTAAAATGATGCCATTTAGTTCTTGTATGGCAACCATTTGTAATACTTTAAAAAGAAAATGTATTCCTGGGAAGTATTTCTAGCCTCAGGTATAGCAGAAATTATAAAAGTTCAGTCCTCATGGCAAATGATATGCCACATTCTAGGTTAAAGCCTTGTTGTTGCCTAGAATTATAATGCTTGTAAGTAATAAGAAATGGCAACATTTTTGCTGATGGCATTCACTTTCATTTACTTATCAAATAAATTTCTGAGTCTTTTGAATTTGGTTTAATCCTTTCTTTCTCTGAGCTTCTTCTCTACCTGTGAAAACAAATCATTTTTTACTACTCCTGTTTACCACCACCATCACCAAATAGTATCACTTCATCCAAGCAATGTGATTTATATGTCATTTTCTGTCAACTGTCACAAACAGTTTAAAACTATGGGTTCTTCTTGTTACCAGAGCAAATGATTAAGATTGTGAGATAGGGTGTAGACAGTGGGGAGACCCAGACAGAGGAGAGAGCAAGCCTCAAATGTGAGATTGTCACTTTTTTTTTTTTTTTTTTAAACAGAGTCTCAATCCGTCTCCCCACCTGGAGTGCAGTGGCGCCATCATGGCTCACTGCAGCCTCAGCACCCCCCCCAACTCTGGCCTCAAGTGATTCTCCCTCGTCAGCCTCCTGAATAGCTGAGATTACAGGCACATGCCACCACGCCCAGCTTATTTTTCTATTTTTTGTTGAGACGGGATTTCACCATCTTGTATGGGCTGATCTCAAGCTCCTAGACTCATCTGATCACCTTGGCCTCCCAAAGCACTGGGATTACAGACGTGAGCCACTGCCACCAGCGAGATTGTCACTTTTAAAACTAGCCATGGGCTGGGCATGGTGGCTCATGCCTGTAATCCCAGCACTGTGGGAGGCTAAGGCCTCCCAAAGGATTGCTTGTGTCCAGGAGTTCAAGACCAGCCTGGGCAACATAGCAAGACTCTGACTCTGTTTTTTTTTAATTAGCTGAGCATTGTGGCACACGCCTATAGTTCCAGCTACTAGGGAGACTGAGGTGGGAGGATCGCTTAGGACCAGGAGGTCGAGGCTGTAGTGAGTTGAGATTGAGATTGTGCCACTGCACTCAGCCTGGATGACAGAGCAAAATCCTGTCTCAAAAAATACAACAACCACCACCCAGCCATAGATTTCTCTAGTTGTTTCCTGAACTCATGGCATCCTCACATTAATTTTCCTCCCTGACCCTGTTTCTTTTCAGTAAAGTCTCATTGTCCAGTTCTAGAAGTGTGGGCATCTTTGTAGCAGTTTTCTAAGTTATCTGATGATCTTGTGAGGGTGTATTAATGCTCTTCCTTCTTTACTTGTTGTCAGGGGGCTTGTACATGACAGCCGGAATAGCCTCCAGTTGAGGGGCTTGGTGGTGCTCCTTATCTCTAAAGCAGCTGGGCCCAGCAGCGTGAACACTTCATGTCAGAACTATGACATGGTCAGTGGGATCTACTCATGGTAAGAAGAATTTAGTCTTTTGACATTGCTCTCTACGTCGTGTTTTCTTTTACTGGACAGAGGTCAGTAAAAATCACCATTCTTTGTCATTCTCTGATTCAAAGATAGATTAAAATATATTATAAGGTTAAAAATGGATTTTTATTGTTTGTAGTGAGTGATAGTCTTGGCCAACTCTACACATAACTCTGGTAAATTTCTTCACACATTTGTGTGAAATACTTTCATTTCTACCTTGGGCATTTAAAATTTTCTGTTCATCACTTCTCCCTCACGTTATGATGTATTATTGTGTCTCTGTGGAGACCTCTGTGCCACTTAGTTCAGGATTTACGATTTTTAAATCTACTCAAAATGATACCTTGTTGGCCAGGCACAGTGGCTCACACCTGTAATTCTAGCACTTTGGGAGGCCAAGGCTGATGGATCACTTGAGGCCAAGAGTTTGAGACCAGCCTGGACAACAGGTGAGACCTCATCTCTACAAAAAATTTAAAAATTAGCTAGTTGTGGTGGCATGTGCCTGTAGTCCCTGTTACTCAGGAGACTAAAGCAGGAGGATTGCTTGAGGCCAGGGAGGTTGAGCCTGCAGTAAGCCGTGATCGTGTCACTGCACTCCAGCCTGGGTAACAGCAAGACTCTATCTCAAAATAAAATAAGATAAAATAGTACCTCATTGTACAAAGATTGATGCTGCTATCATTTTAAGAGCTATAGTCTACTTTTTTACTGGTTATTGGAATAAAAAATTTTTACATCTCATGCATTTAGATTGAAAAACAAATTTGTAAATATGTATTACTCATTTTTTGCTGCATATAAAATAAAATTTTCAGTTTTGTTTAAAAAAATCACTGGATATATTTTTAGTAACAGTATGTCTGCAATAATTTTATTTAATTCTAGCAATATGCTTGGCACTGTATTAAAAGCCTATATAGATGTAACAATCAACAGTTAGACTTTGGCATATGAAATTAAAACCACCCTAACAATATAGGTGATAAGGAAATTTTCCTCACAAAAAGAAGCATTTCTAGGAACTTTGACTTATGGCTAATTGACCTTGTTGATTTACTTTAAAAATAGATTTTAAAAAAAAATTTTATTTCTAGTGGTCTTGTCCATAAATGTTTTCTGTTCCATAATATTTAGGGATTACTGTTGCTTGCCAGCCAGAAATTCAATGATCCTTCCTCATTAGCAACAAGCAAAAAGATTACTGTTGTGACTGCAAATGCCCATTCCTCCAACCAATATAATTTTTTGTAAACCTTTTACCATTCATTCATACAAATACCCTTCACTATAAGGGATATCTTGTGATCACGTATTCTGAAATGGTTTATATTTGTTTAGTGCTTTTAGGTTACTAAGCATTTTTATGACAGCTATTCCATTTGGTTCTTATAATAATGCCATAGTAAGAGTTGTTAAGCTTATTTTACTCAAGAAAACAGATTCAAAAATTTTGAGGCTTTTTCTGGTGACACAGCTTGTAATGAGGAGAGTTGAAGCTCTAACTGTAGTTCTCATCTTCCCTCCAAACCTCATTGTTGTTTTTTTTTTCTTGATTCCATTCTACCTTTCTAGTCTATTTCAAAATATGTATGTATTTCAGTTATAGATCAGACTAGCATTAAATTAGTATGTTTTTAAAAAGTCATCTTGTAAGCATATCTTTAACAACTTTTAAATGGAAAACTCTTTGTCACATCTTTAGTACATCTACATCCTTCCCCAAAACCTGCTTAAAATAGAGCTCAAAAGTTTACCTTAGAGGCAGGGCTTGGTGGCTCATGCCCATAATCCCAGCACTTTGGGAGGCTGAGGCAGATGGATAATGTGAGTCTAGGAGTTCAAGACCAGCCTGGGCAACATGGAGAAACCCCGTCTCTACAAAAAATATAAAAAATTAGCCAGACTACAGGCACATGGTGGCATTCAGGAAGCTGAGGTGGAAGGATCCCTTGAGCCTTGGAGGCAGAGGTTGCAGTGAGCTAAGATCACACCATTGCACTCCAGCCTGAGCAACAGAATGAGACCCTGTCTCAAAAAAAAAAAAAAAGTTTACCTTATAAATTTTGTAGAAAACTCTTGGCTAAGTTTAGTTGAGATAACTAGAGAAAATATATAAAAATTTAGAATGAGTACTAATTACCTGTTAGTCCCTGGAAAGCAAATGGACCTCACATTGCCTTGTATCCCATGTATCTCTGTTTTTGTTTAGGAATTCCATTGATTTTCAGACTGCTGACTTTGACCCTTTCTTATTAGTCATCTGCTTGTACATTTGGATAGCTACACATATAGATAGTGAGCACCTACTATTTTTTTAATCTCTAATCCTAAAGTAATCCTTGCAAAATACTACTTGGTACATAGTAAATATTCAATAAATATTTGTTACATAAGTAAATTATTCCCATTTTACAGAAGAGATTACTAATACTCAGGTTAAGACTTACCTGAAATATTTTAGCTAGAAAGTGATACAGTTGGGATTGAAATCCCATTTTTATCTCAAAGTGTGTATACTCTTTCTACTCAGCAGGAACTATTAATCTGTATGCACATGGTGCACTGTGATCCAACCTTGTGTTTCTAAGTTCTTATCTAGCCTTTAGGAAACAATTTCATTGCTTTTGGTCCTTCACATAACATGTTGGTAGATGGTCATTGTAATCCAACCAAGTTGACTAAAAGAAATTTGGAAAAGAGTAGGGGTACACTGTGAACATGAAACCTTTCCAAATAACATAAATGGGCTTTATACTCAAGTGTATAAAATCCACAATTACATTTAGGGAATAATCCTGGCATGTAAAACCAGGCTATTTTCTGTAATCAAACTTCATTTAGTAAGTCATTGGGGTGTTTGGGTGTTTTACACACTTGTTAATGTGAAAAAGTAATTTGGTATAGTACTATGAGAAACCATGAATTTGTTTCTCTACCCCTGAAGTCATTTGTTTAGCTCTTGCTTCGTTAATTGTTCAAGTGTAACTTTTGCTGGAGGCTTGTATCTATAATGCCACAGTGAATTATTTAACATTTGAGGGAAGTACTGATTTGAGAGCTTTTTAATTCACCTCCAAACTACTGGGATTTACCTTGTTGGTATTTTTTCTCTCATAAACTTGACTTTGATGTCAGACAATGGGACCTGAGTAAATTGCCTGAAGGACCAAATGGGAGGTAGGTGATCTCTTTTGTTTGGCCTAAGGATATAATTGGTGCTGTGGATGTCTAGTGAACTAATAACAGCCAGGAGAGGCAGAATTGAGACTGAAATGTAATAACTACATTTTGAAAATCGGGCAGGAAAGCCACATTTATAAAAATGTACCATAAACATTCACCATAGCCTTTGCCAACAAGACTGTGAGCTTTATTTAGGCTTATTCCACTAACCTTGACTTTTTAAAAATTGGTTGCAAAGCCAGTCAAAAAAGTATTACTAAATTTACAATTATCCCTAGCCACAATCAAGAAAATGTTTACAACTTCCCATTCTATTAGTAATAACATTTTTATTTTGTGTACAAAAGATAGTTTATTACAATATATAATGTATAATATTAAAATGTATAGATTTTTCTCATGATTATTAAGTTTACAGAAATTCACGTGAATATTTTGGCTGATAGTTCTGCTTGCTTGGTTGTTTTATCAAGAACTAACTCAATCTTCTCTTCTAACTAGTAGTTAAAAGCAGGCCACAGACTGAACGTATTTGCACTCTACTTTCATTTCCTGAAGTTTCCCAGACCTTCTTAACTGGTAGAAGAGACTGAAACAAGTATGCCAAACGCATTTTCTTTTCTTCTCGAGTACCCGGCTGGACTACACTTCTCAGCTTCCCAAGCAAGTGACTGGCCATGTGACTGAGATCTAGCCAATAGAGTAGGAGTAGAAGTGATATTTACTATTTCCTGGCCATAAAAATGTTGCATTTGTAATACTCCATAAGCAGATGATCTGGGAAGTGAGCCATTCAAGATGCAAGTTGCCTATGTCCCTGAATCACTCTTGAAGGAAAGTCACCTGCCCATCAGGAACATGCATACAGACTATATGTATGAGAAGAAAAACTGATTTGTTAAGCCACTTAAATTTTAGGGTTTCTCTGTTAACAACAGCAAATGTTACCTTTTTCCTTTTTTTTTTTTTTTTTTTTCTGAGACAGAGTCTCGCTCTATCACCCAGGCTGGAGTGAAGTGACGCAGTCTTGGCTCACTGAAGCCACTGCCTCCCAGGTTCAAGCAGTTCTCCTGCCTCAGCCTCCCAGGTAGCTGGGATTACAGGTGCCCGCCACTGTACCCAGCTTCTATACCCCACATCTTTGTGGGGTATAGAAGTACCTAGCAGGGCCCAGAACAGTACCAACATTGTAATTAATAGGCACTCAGTACGTAACTGTTACATGATTGTATGAATTTATGGAAAAGAGACTAGCTTTATTATGTATGCAGGTATTATGGATTGAATTTTATCCTCCCAAAATTCATGTGTTGAAGTCCTAACACCCTAGTACCTCACAACGTGACCTTATTAGGAGAAAGGATCTTTATAGAGCTAATCAAGTCAAAATGAGGTAATTAGAATGGGCCCTAACTCAATATAACTGGCATCCTTATAAAAAGGGGAAGTTTGGACACAGATATTCATATACAGGAAGAATGCCCTGTGAACTGAAGGCAGCCATCTACAGGCCAGCCTCACAGTCCTAGAAACTCATATATGAGAAGTAGGGAATAAAGATGAGGTGGAAAGGAAAGGTTGAAGTCAGACTGTGAAGGGCCTGAGGAATTAGGGCGATATCCTGGAGAAATTGTGGGGAGTTCAGGAGACAGCAGAGTGGACTTGGAATCTGGAAGCTGACTGCCCCACCTAGTAGCCACGCCTCAGTGGGTACTTCACAGAATGTTTTCAGAATTAAACAAGTGAGTAGAATAATGCATGGCATAGTAAGCATTCTGTAAGTGTTTGCTCTTATT